TAGTTGGATTATGATATTTTTATTTCATAAACCATAAAAATGTTTGAGATAAGGTAATCCCTTTCAGTAGGGCTATGTTCACATCATATCTACTCAACATATTTGCATATCAGGGAAAATAAATTGCTTCGCGAGCATAAAATTATACACAAGATGCACTACATGACTTTACAGAGACAAACAATAAAACTAGAGCCCATCCACCATCTACAAGGAAGTTGTCGAGATGGCAAAGAAGGTTGACACAGACCTGTCAATGGTAGAGTCACTCTACACAAAAAGATAGCCTTGCAAGTATGGTTACACTATTCCCATGTAAACAGGCCCTTATTAGTTTGGTAACTAAACAATACAACAGGAAGTACAGAAATATTTTCATAAATCAAAGAAGAAATGAATCCCAACATACTCATTTAGTATTTAATGTAGTGTTTCGTCTTGGTCTTTTAAAATTATGAAATTCAAAATGCATCAAAATTCTTAAAAAGTTTTGTTTAAAGCGACGTTAAGGTAAAGAGATCTTCATCAAAGCATATCAATACAAAAGCTGTTGTATTTTAACGTATACACTTGTGCACCATATTATTGAAGGTTTTCTCGAATTCAGACTAAAGCCTGGGCCACACTATCGTCTATTTTGACGAAAACGAAAACGAAACGAAAATTCGTGCACGAAATGCATGCCAGACACGACGAAAAATTACAAGCATGTTTGCAAAGCCAAAACTTTTTTGGCCTATAAGCAAGCGGCGTTTTTGACAGATTAGAAAAAATGGCGATCTCTAAAAGAAAAAGATTACTTTTTCTTAAGAAAAAGTTACTGCTTTTAAAGTTGAAAACAAGCAACAGCAAACGTCGATACTGGATTCATCCAATTAATAAACGACGTGATCGTCTTGGACTATTTAACAACTTGATTAAAGAATTACGAGAGCCGAACAATGAAAATAGACACAAGGTTAAATAGTTGGAATGTTATTAAACAAAAAGAATGATAGCACAGCGCTATACAAACAATAACGACCTTATCTAACAACATTTGAAATTAACCTTCCACTCCTCTTCCTTGTAAACCAGACAACTATAAAGCAAAGAGCCTTATACGCTACAAGTCCGGCTTGTGACCGGTATAGCAGAGTTAAAAGGTGAAAGGTTGATCATAGATTAATCAACTGAATATTCCTGCTCATTTTTGTTTGGAAGCATGTTGAACAGTTCATGGACAAAGCTCGAATTCCATATTAAATATCAGTAACATAATCCGGTGTTAATGTACATCATTGCCCTTCAGTGAAAGCATCCCGCTTTCCACTGGAAAAGAATGAATCTAATATCGATGTTAAACATAGATTCTTACAAGCATCAGTGATTATACTTGTGATTATACTTATACATATCGGCAAGCGGGATGCTTGTAAGAATCTATGTTTAACATCGATAGTAGATTCTTTTCCAGTGGAAAGCGGGATGCTTTCACTGAAGGGCAATGATGTATTGTCTAACATTAACACCGGATTATGTTACTGATATTTAATATGGAATTCGAGCTTTGTCCATATGAGCTGTTCAACATGCTTCCAAACAAAAAATGAGCAGGAATATTCAGTTGATTAATCTATGATAAACCTTTCACCTTTTAACTCTGCTATACCGGTCACAAGCCCGGGACTTGTAGCGTATAAGGCTCTCTGCTTTATAGTAGACTTGTCTGGTTTACAAGGAAGAGGAGTGGAAGGTTAATTTCTCAAATGTTGTTAGATAAGGTCGTTATTGTTTGTAGTTGTTGGTTATAGCGCTGTGCTATCATTCTTTTTGTGAAAATAGACACATGAAATACTTGCGAATGACGACGACAAATTTTGACTACATTTTGGATTTAATTAGACCTCACATCACTAAGTTGGCACACATCTTAGAAAGTCTATTAGCCCTGATTTATCAAAACCTCTTGCCACTCCGCCATGTTTGAGTACAAAGTCTGATATTATTAGCCAATAGTATGCGTTTTCGTAAACGAAAAAGGTCAAAAGTTTAATTCTTCTCATATGCACGAAAACGAAATTTTCGTCGAGTTTTCGTTCAAAATTTTCGTTGCGGCAGTTTTCGTTCTGATTTTCGTCGATATGGACGATAGTGTGGCCTAGGCTTAAAACTTATTTTCTTTCACAAACACAATTTTAGTATTGGCTAATTTTAGTTTGAACTAAGAATTCTCGATAAGAGACTCGTTTCAATAGCGCCTGTCGAATGCCATGAATATTTACGCCAAAACTTTACAGCAAAACAATATTTTCATTCAAGACAACAAGTACAAGTACGTTATTCCACTAAAAATACAGCAAAACGTAACATACCCATGTAATTTGGTTTTCTTCAGTGAGAATTTCAGAAAGACTCAATTTCCTGCTTCGCAACGTATGACGTGAAGTTAAGTATGGCAAGCCAAACAAAAGTGTATCGAGAATTCCAACCACTAGTCGAGAATCATAAGTGACATATGAGAAGGCAAGCACGTGTTGAGAAAATCAACCATACGTCGAGATTTCTGACTGGCAAACTGGACAGCGGTTGCGAAACGTATATTATAAATACTTCGTGCCATCCATATAACATAACATGGTCTTCAGGAAACAATGGCTGAAGAAAAAACTACCGTGAAATTGGCACCACATTGGGCACCACAATCAACACAACATTCATCACATTATTCATCACCACATTCAACTAAAATTTATCATTCAAAATGATAAATCGAAAAATCGTCTTTAAAACACGTTTTCCATCAAATACAACAGTAAAAACATTTCTTAAATGTTTATTACTATTTTACTGTCCTTAACCATCACAAAGAAAGTATAAAAGTCAAAAAATTGAAGAAAACACAAAACTTTAGGTTACAGTGTACTTTTCATTTCCCTTAATTAGCGTATAATTTAAAAACTACACTGTAGAATTTTTTTAAACTTGGCCAGAATATAGATAATTATATTGTCTAAAATATATCGAAAATCTGGAGAGTGCACAAAAAATAAGTTTTAGAAAATCATCTACAAAGTCGGATGACACATATACGCGTAATATAATCTAATATAATTAACTTCCTATATCCAGTTAACTTTGCAAACAAAGGCCTATAAATAAGAAACTACAAGGTAGAATTTTTTTAAACTTGGCCAGAATGTAGATAATTATATTGTATAAAATATATCCAAAATATCGTAAAACAAGATTTTTTCGTTTTGTACTTTGCGGAAGTACTAACGTACTTTCCACTATGATACTAAACGGGCAACTTCTTAATGCACAGAAAACTCAGTGAAATGTCAATGAAATTATTTACAAATGGACTAATCAGTCAATTTTTGATAACATATTAAATGAACGGTGTGAGACTTAACACATTTCTTGAATAAATCGGCTAATTTTACTCTTTTAAAATTATTTCCGGGTCCATGGTGTGCAAATATTTATTTCATTGTTCATCGTCAAAATTGTATAAAGGCCAGTTAGGCCAATGAAGTTCATTTTCGTATTCTCACTATTTTGTGTAACATTGCATAGTACATGTTGTCTTTATGATTAAAACCATAGATATTATATATAAATTATAAAACATAATGACCGAAGAAGGTTGTATAACCAGACTACTGAACCAGACCCGAATACAAAGGATGGGGTGCTACTTCTTGGTGTGCAAGTGCAACCGCCATGTTGCATGATTTTAATAAAGGATTTTTCTTATTTACCACACATAATTCATCCAACATGGCGAGCATTTCATTTTTCTCTTACTCCCATAGAATTGATGCACACCCACCTTATAGTAAAAAAATATTTACAGCTGTTTCTTGGGTTGGGGATGCCCAGAGACCCATCTAGCTAAGACAAGACGAGACGAAACTAGACTAGAACACTAATTGTGAGGGAGGGTGAATATTCATGTACTAAGCTCTTTCCTGCTACTTTCTTTTGTTGGCGATTTTAATTTCAAAAGATATCATGGGCCGGTTGCACGAAGCCTAGATAGCAATTTTTTCAAACTTTTATAAAACCTTTTAAAAGCAAAAATATAAAATTCGAACTGAGCACTCACTGAAAAGTCTGAAATAAATATTGTTTCGAAGATTATAAAATTTCTTTGTCGTAAGTAAAATATAAACACCTTTTTACAAATTTGAAAATTTTGCTATCCAATGGATAGCGCTATCCAGGCTTTGTGCAACTGCAGCAGGGCAGTGCTGAATATATGAATATTCTCCTACCCTCACTTTATAAAAGAAAAAAACAATGGAATGTTTGCCTTTAGCCGATACTACAAGGTCAATATTAACACTAAGCTTCAAAGGATTGGACACAGCACTGGGGGAAGGCTTAGCCCACAACAGAATCTAACCAAAGTTTTGCCATTCTTTGCGAATGCTCCATTACTTAATAACTGCTGACTAAAATATCAAAGAAAAACATCTTTAGGCCTTTGAATGTAAATGTATTATAAAGTTAAAGTTATTGCTCTTGTTGTTTTAGCATTCAAATCGACAATGAAATATCAAAACGTTAACAATTTTATTGTTGCTCCCGAATGATGGAGGTTTTTGTACGTCTGGAGCATTGCGATATTAGACACTTGGGATTCTCCACTACATTTGTTTATATTTCAAGTATTAAGACGTTAAATTTTTTAAAGGTCCCCACATTTTTGAGGCTCTCTTTGTGTTGTCGAACACCCCACTAGCACTGTATTAAAAATGAGACCATATAAACTGTAAATAATTTTTGTTACGATTGGCGCTCCATAGTAGATCACTAAAGGTGTTCTTAACTATCCAACTATGGTCATCTCTTAACTAGATGGGTCTCAAGGCATTCCCTAATCAAAGACAAATTTTGAAATTTACGATTTAGGTTCATCAGAAATAAGATTTTGTGCTTTTTCAGGGCCTTTTCGTGATCCTTTTCTAAACAATTTGGTATACACAGGAAACAAGTCAGGAAGGCAGGTGTACAGTAAGATAAATAGAAAATACTTATTCAAAAACAGTATTACCATACACTGTTATCAAAAACAACTAATGAATGAGTCAGAATGACCAGTGTACTTTCCTATCAAAAAATGGCTTCCTTCTGGAAATCATAAAGTACTAGCAGCTCAAAAGGGAGGAAAACATGCAAAATTCAAATCTTATCAGAAAATGTAAATGTTCGTAAAAGCACCATTGTGACTTTACAACATGGAAAATGTTTATAAACACATGTTTAGAATAAATTTATGATTTTCTTCAAAACAAATTACTGTTCTCATAATTTCTTCTTTCGTCGGCTATCTCGTACTCCGATTCATTATTTTTTTGCCAAGATTCATAATTATTATCTTCTATATTCCTTTTCGATATGTCCAGTTCTTCATAAGTTGTATCAACTGTGTCATCCTTTGGTCTCAATGATTGATAATTATCTTCTTTATTATTCATTTTTGATAAATCCAATTCTTGATAAGTATTATCAACAGAATTTTTCCTAACTTCAGATGGACATTGAAATTGTTGACGTTTTTTATTAAACCAATGTTGACGATAACGCAAAAAAAATAAAATAGAGACGAAAATTCCAACGATAATTCCAGATGTTAAAGTTATTAAAATAATATACCATTTTGTTTTGCACTGTTTTATTCTCTCATTTTGGTCATCACAAAGAACGTTGTCTAGAGAAGAAGCATAGAACTTAAAAATATGGAAAAAAATCAAAAGAGTTTATTTGTATAGAATACTAAAATACATATGATAACAAGATTGGATCATTTTGATTGAGCAATGGATAGATTGAATTGAACATTTCCATTAAGTCTAAGGCAAAGGTCGAGATGTTAATTGCATTGTGTGGCTAGAGCTAAAGTTTGCTATAAAAGAGCGATTTGCTTAAATTTCTTTTAAGGATTTTATCATCTCAGGTAGCGCATGCAAATTGAACAGAAAGAGCTAATAGTATTTTAAACATAAATATGATTTTATAGCATAGTAAATAAATTATCTTTTGTGTTGCAATCAGTAGATAAATATTTTGAAAGGAGAAATGATGTTGGAGATACGTATGTTAACAAATTTACTGGTTGGAATTCTAGCCCAAACTTAAATGAAAAATGCTAAAATAGCTACACAGAAATCAACTCAAATTATTGGTTTGTTGTGGTGGATCTGTAAAGAATAAAATTAAATTCAATATTCTACACAAACGTTTATAATGAGATCTGAAATGTTGTCTTACAAACTTACAAGTAGCTTTCACTGTTACTTCAATTGATTTTTCATCTCTAAAACGTGGATCATTATAACTTTGTGCTTTACATCTGTAATTTCCACCATCATTCACTGTAACATTAGTGATTACTAATGTCTTACTTACAACTCCAACATCATCAATTATGTTGTTATCTTTATCAAACCATGTGACATTAGCAGGAGGGTTACCTCCTTCGCCTCTACATACACATGACACATTATCACCTTCATTCACAACCAGAGGAGTTGAACAATTAATTACCACATCTGGTTTAACTGAAATTAAAAACAGAAAATATTCCTTTCTTAATTTAATTATGAAAAAGAAAATTAATAATGAGAGTAGTCGTTAGTGTTATGTGCATTTTCTTAGGAGTATTGGATCGATGCCCTAAGCAGTCACAAGCCAGCAGGAAGCCCGTTTATCACTCGCTAAAAGTCCAGATCAGTGGAAATATTCCACTAAACTGCTATCCAATGTGATTTTTTGCACTAAACCGCTGCATTATTAACCAATTTGCTTAATAAAAATTTCATTTGTAAAAAAGACTTTGATGCTGGAAAAGAACAACAACATAACAATAATCACACAACTTTCAAGATGCATATTAATAATAAATTTTGAAACTTTGAAAGTCCATCGCGTGACCGACTAGACATAAACAATATTGACTTATTATGAAGCCTAAACAACTATCGTTGGTCTTCGAAGAACTATAAACAAATCATAGTCGTCTAAGGCTCTTGATAACCTATTTAATGAAAATATGCAATACGCAAAGTCAACAGCTAGGTGACGACAGATGCATACGTCAGCGCAGCAGGCAGCGAAAGGTATATGAGGCGTAGGCTTAAGAGTCAATCATAATTGGGAGTGGTAGTCTTTCAGCACAACGAATCTAAATCTCGCCAACAAGGAAAAATATATAACTATCTTCATTGTTTAGCACAATCTTGTACTATCGTGTACAAATGGGATGAAACTGAACAGTCGTAATTTGTTCATGTACAATGTAGAATACTAGCCCAAAAATTGATGAAGTAAAATTTTAATTTTACCTTTGATTATAGTAAGATTTTTAACATCAGATAAATCATTTCCCAGTTTATTTTTTGCTTCACAACGATATGAACCAGCGTGATTGAAGTTGACAGATTGAATGATGTATGTCTTATTATTGCTGATAACTGCACCATTATGATAAATAGTGTAGGTTGGTTCAGGATAACCATCTGATTCACAGGTTATTGTCACATTTTGACCTTTTTACTGACATTGGACTGATGGTAATATTGGTTTGTTGTGGTGGATCTGTAAAGAATAAAATTAAATTCAATATTCTACACAAACGTTTATAATGAGATCTGAAATGTTGTCTTACAAACTTACAAGTAGCTTTCACTGTTACTTCAATTGATTTTTCATCTCTAAAACGTGGATCATTATAACTTTGTGCTTTACATCTGTAATTTCCACCATCATTCACTGTAACATTAGTGATTACTAATGTCTTACTTACAACTCCAACATCATCAATTATGTTGTTATCTTTATCAAACCATGTGACATTAGCAGGAGGGTTACCTCCTTCGCCTCTACATACACATGACACATTATCACCTTCATTCACAACCAGAGGATTTGAACAACTAATTAAAACATTTGGTTTCACTAAAAAAAGAGAAGATATCGCTTTATATAAGATGTCGGTCTAAGGCTTAAATCTTTCCGTCCCAGTCATGTAAAAGATGCATAATCAGTCATTAAAGACGGAAATTTACCATTACTCTTACAAAAACTTCAATTTTTATCCTTAATCCCTGAAGTGATCCCTCCAAAAAATATAAACACTGACCCATTTCATTTGCGTATGCTTTGGCTAATATTATGGAATGCTGTACTGTTACAAAACTGCTTAAAGATAAAATCAATGTACAACAATACGCATGAAAAGGCCACTGTACAACTGATGAAGATGAATTTGAAGCAATTGATGGTAGCTGCTCAACTTTTTTGCAGACTTTTGAAAAGGCTTCAATTCAATAGACCACAATATTTTACAACATAAGTTGGAAAAATGAACGTTTCTCCTGATCTTATTAAAAGGATTAAAGCTTTTTAAACTATAATTAAAAACAAGCTGTAAGAATTGGAGATGCTTTGTCTGAATGAAGAGCAATAATGGAAGAGGCACAAAGTTACGTGTCATTTTTCATGCAATGTGATGAAAAAGAGATTTACAGCGCATTGGCCTCTAAGAATCAAGTTTGTTAAAAACATTTTCATCCTCGAGATTTTACCAAAAATTTACCTACAGGATAATGAACATTCATGAATTTTTAGTAACAATGACATGAAACTAAGGGGCTGTTCATACGAGCTCGTAATATTTTTATAAAAATTACAATTGCTTGTTAAGCGCCACAAGTCTGTCATGTGAAAGTTCTCAAAGAAGATTGATTGTTATAAAACTTCAAAATACAAATAAACTTGTCAGCAATTTTCAGTAAGGCTGATTATTCAAGAAGCCAATCATGCTAACCAGTACTTTTTTTCATTTGAAAATATTTTTTCTGTTGGGAGAATACTCTGGCAGCAGTGATGATGATGGTGAGTTTGAAAATGTGAGTGGGAAAATCGATGATAGTGATGACAATGATGTTAACATGCTCCTAGCTTCAATGCGAACAAGTAAGCCGAGTTAGAGAAAAACTTTATTTTTGTGTCGGAAACTAGTGTAACATTTACTGGTCCAAACGTTGAAGCCCCAGTGAACATGGAAACAAAAACTCTTCTTCAATATTTTAAGCAATTTGTGAGTGGTGATATGCTTCAAAATTTGGTGACAAGCACCAATGAATACAGTGTCCAAAAGTCTGGAAACTCAATAAACATTAATAAGAAAGAGATAGAACAACTCATTGGTATGTTTTTCATATGGGCTTGTAAGGATGAGTGGAGTTCGACAGTATTGGGAATCTGCTACTGCATACAGTTCTGTTTGTGATGTCATGAGTCGTAATCAATTTCAGCTTTTGTTGAGAATGCTTCATTTTGTGAACAATTTGTTGGTATCTGACAATGACAAGAGAGACAAATTGTGGAAAATTCGACCATGGCTTGAAAAAATGAGAGAAAACTGCCTGAAACTAATTCCAGAAGAGCACAATTCAATTGATGAAATGATGTGTAAATAGAGAGGAAGGACAAGTCCCATTCGACAATATATCAAGAGTAAACCATATCCATGGGGATTCAAGGTCTGGTGTAGAGCAGGCGACAGTGGAATATTGTACGATTTTGATGTTTACCAAGGTGAAAATGGGAAAAGAAGTGAATTGGGCCGAGGAGCCAATGTAATACTAAACCTGACCTCAACTTTAGCATACCATGCCAATTATAAAATTTATACAGATAATTTGTTCACAAGTCTCAAACTTCTCCTGCAACTAAAGGAGAGGGGAATCCATTATACTGGTTCAGTACGAAAGAATCGATTGTCAGGATGTAACTTGAAGGAGGAAAAGATCTTGAAGAAGACGGGAAGAGGGTCTTATGATCACAGGGTTGAACAGAACAGCAACATTGTTGCGGTTCGTTGGTTTGACAATAAAGCTGTTACACTCTTTTCTACGCTTATTGGAATTGAGCCTATTATGTCAGCTGAGAGATGGGACAAAAAGAATGAACGAGTCAAATTGCCCATGCCAGCAGTTATTGATCAATACAACAAGCATATGGGTGGAATTGATCTGCTTGATTCATTTCTTGCTCAATACCGTTTCAAGGTAAGATCACGCCGGTGGTACACATATCTGTATTGGCATTTTTTGATGGTGGCAATTGTAAATGCATGGAATTTATACTGGCGTGATCACAGATTGCTGGGACTTCCAATAAAGGAAATGATGAACCGTCGACACTTTCAGGCATCTGTTGCTTCATCGCTGGTGCATGTAAATTCAAAAATAAAAGTAGGCCGACCATCACCGTCAAGCACTCCATCACCGTCAAGCACTCCATCACCAACCCGCAACAACCAAAGAAAAAACAGCGATTGCCTACTGCTGATATTCGTAAAGATGGCTACTGTCATTGGCCAAAGAAAAGTGAGAAACGTGGGCGGTGCAAACTTTGCATGAAAAACAACACAAACACTGTGTGTATGAAATGTAACGTTAGACTTTGTTTTGCTGAGGAACGTAATTGTTTCTATGATTTCCACCAGTGATAGCATTTCAAAAAACATATTTTTTCATTCTTAAAACCTTGTTTTGTGTTGACTAAAAATTATACATTTTGCCCTGCTATTTGAGGTGCATATTCTTACAAACCATTTTGAAATGCATAAAGTTATCTTTTATGCCACAATTAGCTCGGTGTTACATATATACTTATTATGAGGCTAAAATAGAGGCTAAAATGGGACCTAACAAAAATTTTTCCCCATTTCAGCAAGTAATGACTCCAAATGAGTAAAACGTCAATGGAAATAGTTTTAGCTATAGAAAATCACATTGTGGGTTCTACAGAGTTAAAATGATCGATATAAATCATATTGTAATTATATTAAATGTTCAAATAAAAAAATACCAATTTCTAAAATTGATAAAAACACAAAATAATAAAAAAACAGGGATGACTTACTTGCAACGAAAACTCTGACTTTGGATATAAAAGGAGATAACAGACTGTCCTTTCTTGTTAATCGAAACTCATACGTTCCATCATAACTATGAGTGATATTTCTTAATTGCAGCGTTGAAGGTTTGTAGGCGTTATAATTTGGAGGAATTTGTGCACGTAACTTTATTACATTAAAGTTTTCAAAAACAATGGCCAAAAGTGTTTGTGCATAACCATTACTACTACCAGTAAAATACCAATCTCTACTGTCCAAATCACTTTCTCTATCATTAAATGTCCACGTTATATTGTTCGTTTCTCCAAGTAGAAATGTAAAACTTGTTCCAGAGGGAGGTGATTGAATAATTCCTATACATGACAAGAAATAAAAGACAAATATATAAAATCTAATAACGTTTAATTCATTTTAATCCATTAAATATCAATTATTAAATGAAAACAGTAGCAAAGGATAGATAACAGAAACATATAAAACAAAATTAACATATAGAACAAGGATCACCCTAACTCCAATTTAAGGAAATTGCCATTTCAAGCGTAGGTGGCCCTCGGAAATTACCCCCGTGCCAAATTTATAAATTTATTTTCAGTGTCTAAAAATGAGGGCATTATGTCGTCATTGATAACA